CATTGCAAGGAGCCATTGCAAGGAGCCATTGCAAGGAGTCATTGCAAGGAGTCATTGCAAGGAGTCATTGCTAGGAGTCATTGCAAGGAGTCATGGCAAGGAGTCATTGCAAGGAGTCATTGCAAGGAGTCATTGCAAGGAGTCATTGCTAGGAGCCATTGCAAGGAGCCATTGCAAGGGGTCATTGCAAGGAGTCATTGCAAGGAGTCATTGCAAGGAGTCATTGCAAGGAGTCATTGCAAGGAGTCATTGCTAGGAGTCATTGCTAGGAGTCATTGCTAGGAGTCATTGCTAGGAGTCATTGCAAGGAGCCATTGCAAGGAGTCATTGCAAGGAGTCATTGCTAGGAGTCATTGCTAGGAGTCATTGCTAGGAGTCATTGCCAGGAGTCATTGCAAGGAGTCATTGCAAGGAGTCATTGCAAGGAGTCATTGCAAGGAGTCATTGCAAGGAGTCATTGCAAGGAGTCATTGCAAGGAGTCATTGCAAGGAGTCATGAGAGTCATTGCGAGCTGCAAGGAGCGAAGCGCGTGGAGTCAAGTGCAAGTTGCAAGTGCAAGGAGTCAAGTGCAAGTTGCAAGTGCAAGGAGTCAAGTGCAAGTTGCAAGTGCATGGAGTCAAGGGCAAGTTGCAAGTGCAAGTTGCAAGTGCCAGTTGCAAGTTCAAGGAGTCAAGTGCAATTGACTTGCGAGGAGTTAAAATCTCTTCTTAGGGCGGGGGGGTAGCGCCGACGACACAACACGAAAATCGACCCTCTGCGGGGATCGGCGTGGCCGACGTGCAAAAACTCGAGGTTTTTTGCGATTTTGTTTGGGCTCGCGCGACTCTCTGCGGGGATCGGCGTGGTCGAGGTGCAAAAAACCCCATGGTTTTTTGCGATTTCTAAAGTTCCCGCGCGACCCTCTGCGGGGATCGGCGTGGTTGAGGTGCAAAAACTCGAGGTTTTGTTGCCATTTTTAACATGCTCGCGCGACTCTGCGGGGATCGACGTGGTCGAGGTGCAAAAACCCATGGTTTTTTGCGATTTTTATAGTTCCCGCGCGACCCTCTGCGGGTCCTCGGGAGTTGTCTCGTGGTTCGCGCGCCTGCGCCCGGGACCGGCGGGTCGCGGGGCGTGGTCGAAAAAACTCCGATTTTTGTTGTTCGAACTGGTCCTCGGGAGTTGTCTCGTGGTTCGCGCGCCTGCTCCCGGGACCGGCGGGTCGCGGGTTCGATTCCTCCCTGGTCCGCGGCGGGCGTCGCAAGATGCAACTTGCATAAAGCAACTTGCGCAGAGCAAGTTGCACAGAGCAACTTGCGCAGACCAACTTGCACCGACCAGTTTGCGCAGAACGCCTTGCCTAGAGCAACTTGCGCAGAGCAACTTACGCAGAGCAACTTGCACAGAGCAACTTGCACAGAGCAGCTTGCACAGAGCAACTTGCGGGGAGCAACTTGCACGGAGCAATTTGCACAGAGCAACTGCAGGGGCCAACTTGCACGGAGCAACTTGCGCGGAGCAACTTGCGCCAAGCAACTTGCACAGTGCAACTTGCGTAGAGCAACTTGCGCAGACCAACTTGCACCGACCAGTTTGCGCAAAGCACCTTGCCTGGCGCTGTCTCGCGCTTGCTTCACGAATGCTTCGTGTAGGGAAAAAGAACGCATCCTGCAGCGTTGGGCCGACCTCGCTTGCGATGTTATGCTTTCAGGCCAACCGTGGTCTAGTTGTTTATGCTTTTTTATCCAAAGCCTGTAGAAATTGGCATCCACAGAAACCAAGCAAATTGGAGATTATCCAAATGAGTCACAATTAACACCCGGTATTAAAATGGTCTACCCAGAACCATGTAAAGAAATTAGAACGCGGCCGCAACTATTTCTGGCTCGGACTGTCCCTTCCCAACCTTCATCTACCCGGGTTGTGATTGTGGCTCAAATGAATTCCCTTTTGGTTTGCACCCTGCGCTCTGCGGGATTAAGCGCCGCCCAAAGGGCACGGTCAGGACAGGCGCCAGAGCATCTGAGGGTACTCTGAGACCTGCGCATTCCGCGGGGCCGCGGGGTATCCGTTTTCAAGACCACCCTTGCGATCTTTGCGGAAAGATAAACCAAGGGGAAACCGACTCACAGAGACAAGTTGCACCGGCGTTGTGCCCCAAAATCGTCCAGCTGTTTGCCCCAAACAGCAACAACATGGGGGTCAGGCTCACCATTTGGACAGATCGCTGTCTCAAAACAAGTGTTGGACGAGGGCTCTCAAATTTTAAGACAGACGCACATAGTGTCTGTATCTATATAATATATATGTCGGCATAAAACACTGGAAAAATACAGGTCAAACACACCAAACCAGGGTCCATGAAAGGGGGGGTACCATAATTATGAATACATATATATATATATAGGGTTCTGCAGTGTCTAATTAGCATTTGTTTAGCTTTGTCTTGGAGCCACTGAGCGTAGACCACCAAAAGCAAGTCATTGCACGGCCGAGATTGGTCCTGCCGTCAAACTCCTTGGTCCTGTGTCAAAATGCGGGGCCCACATGGCGGGATTGTCCGTTGGTTTCCCTATAAACTGAGCTGAAAAGGTTAATATAGGTATACCCTGAAAGGAGACGAAAACCAATATACCGTACCCACCACCTCAAACTAGGCAGTTGCACGTTTCGCGAACGCAAGCGGCAGCTTTTCCACATCGCGGCCCAGGACGCTACAGTCAGCTCGAAAGTTCACGCTTCTTCTGTTTGCGCACACGCGTGCCTGGACGATGCTTGTGGACAGCGGTATCTTTTCCTGTGATGACGCGAGCGAAGATGCGCATCCACCAAAGGACGAGATCTTGGCCGATGGATCTTCGACTCCACGGCGAACCAAGTCACTGCCCTTAATTGGCACACATCCCAACTAGGTTCTCCAGTAGAGAGGTCAACTTTTTTCAGGACGTCTATTTTAGTAGGGGCACCCTCGCCAAAAAAGTTGGTAAAAGGGCACTACTGGGGGACCTAGCCCTTGTAGGACACGGTTCCATTTGGGTATGTTTTAGGGAGGTAGACATGCGCAAAAATCTATCTCCCCAGATCCATGACTAACCCGGTGCCTGGAGCAGACCTAAAGGCCGAAAAAAAGGGTCAAACGCTTGAAGGCAATCCGTTCCCAAATCGCCACAACGAAGTCCTGGCAAAAACAGAGAAAGGTGAAAGTCCAAAGATCCGTTCGCAGCTAAGCAAAAAATGGCCTGGAATCCACTGAAGTCGCGACACAGCTAGAGGCCGTGTGCCAAAAGCCCAAAAGCCCCCACCTCCCGAGCCCCTGACCCGGTGCCTGCCCGTAGGTCCTCAGGGTGCGATCCTTTTCCCACAAGCAAGACGGTGGATTTCGAAATCCATTTCGCACCGCCCTCTTCAACCTGATGACTCCCCCTGCAAATACCTAACAATGGTTTCAACCATGGTCTCAAAGTGGGGCGAACGGAGTTCGTCCATCAGTATGGATGCGTCTCGTTTTGGAGTTGGTACACCAGCGTAAACGTTTTGAAGGGAAACCAACAAAGGACACTCACGCGGTCTCGAAAAAAAAGAAAAAACAAAAGAGAAAAGACATATGTGAAATATACCCACCAACCGTTGACTCACTTGGAGGGTCGCAAAATCAAGAGGCCATCGAGTGTTTTGGTTTCCCTCTCCGACTCACAAACCCCAAAAAGCCACGTCGATCCAGTCCTGGTGGTGCAACTTTTGCAGCACCAAACCTCCCAATCTAGGCTGGTAAGCCTGCACCGAAATGCGCTCAAGAAAACAAAAACCGAGGGCGTGTCTCTTTCTTTCGTGGACTCAACATGTGTTTTTTGGCACAACCATGGGTTCTCATGAAAAAAGGGGGAAAAAACAACACACACACACACACACACACCACACCACACCACACCACACCACACCACACCACACCACACCACACTACACTACACTACACTACACTACACTACACTACACTACACTACACTACACTACACACACACACTACACACACACAAGGGCTTCCCGAAAAACAAAAGAGAAAGGTCCAAGTGTTCGAAGTAAAAAAAGAAAAGAAAGAGGAGCTGGACGGAGGCGTGGCAAGGAAGCAGTGGTTTCAGGCCAGCTGAAAGAGCATAGGGCCTCGCACTTCCCATCGAGTGGATGAGAACCAAAAAAGACTGCCACCACCAACAAAATGGTCCAAGCCCAAAAAGTGACTTTAGTCAGTTGAACTCCGACCATTTGACCTTCTCTCCCAAACAGCTCGCCCTTTTTTTTTTCCAGCCGAGACGCTGGGCTTCCAGGCAAGCCACCATAGGCTTGCCCATGAGAAATCATCCATGATCCCGAAGGACTACCTACTTTAGTGGCTTGCCTGGAAGCACTGGGTTAAGGTTGCAGCCACTTGGGAAAACCCAAGCAATACCCTTTTTAACAGGTGCACAACCCCTTGATTTTGTAACTTCTACGCCCTGTGTAAAGGGCTGTGGAGTCTCCAAGCTGCACACGTCGTACCACAGTGCCTCGCATCGGGCAGGCTTTTCAATTGCTCCCACCTGCGCAGGACACTCAAACACAGGGCATCAGCTGTCAGATCCGGGCCTCGATGCTGTTCAAAGATGCAAATATTCGTAACAGTTCCTCAGCGTCCGCTTTCCCTCAGCTTCCCTCCAAGTCTTTGGATTGGTTTGGTGGTGAAGGAGGGGTTTCCCATTTCCCGCCTTTACCAAAAACAGGGGCTTGAAACGAGGCCTGCGGAACCATGGCATGTACGAGATAAAAACCGAACCGGTGACAAAAATCCCTTGCTTCCGAACTGCCGGCCCTACGAAACCCAAGGCTCCACCTCGGTCTTGGAACCTCAGTGGTTCTTAGAGCTCTCGGAACCTTTCTGGCCGAAAGGCCCTCCAGTGAAAAACGCTCGGGGAAGCCTCCAAAGCAAGTGGGTCTGCCTTTGAAGGTTACCCCTGCTGCTTTTCTGGGTTTTACAGGGAACACTGTTTTGCGCCCTTTCTTGGAGGGGTCGGTTCCCGAAAAAAAAAAATCCACCTAGGTCCTCCAGTACCCTTTCTTCTGTAGTCTATTTTAGTAGAGGAACCCTCCCAACCCCAAAAAAAGGAGAGAAGGGCACCTAGCTGGGGGACCTATCGCGACCTGAAGCACTCGAGGTCCTAGCTGGAAGATGCGACGCGACGCGAGAAGTCATGGTGTTTCTCCACCTGGGCTGAGCTTCCATTTGCGTTTTCGCCCCCTGGGAAAATATGTTTTGCGAAAAAAAGTCCAGTAGATCGATTCCTTTTTAAAAGCAACAGGGGGAACAAAAATCAAATATTCTTAAACAAATGGAAGCTGAGCATGCGCCGGTGGCCGAGTCTCTGCCGGTCCGACGCTTCAACTACCCCTGCATCATCTCATTGTAAGGCACTGTGGATTGACAAAGTCCGTTCGCGCCACTTTGAAACTATCATTGAAACCATTGTCCGTTGGCATTTACAAAGAAATCATCAAAAACCCAGGTTTCTTAGGTGGTGAGAAATGGATTTCGTCCATTCACAGCATCTCAGAAAACTCAGAGTAAATACTGCTTGAAGTTCCAGGAACATTGTGACTTAGTCTTGACCAGGACCACACACCCCTAGCTGTTCATTGGTACTCATGAAATCCAACTTTTGTTAGGACCCCCCCCACTGAAAATAGGTATGTAGCAGGAGCACGCAAAATTGAGTGAGTTGATTTTAGCTTTCCCTTCAAACCAACCCATTCTTGTTTGTTGTTTACTATTATTTTGTGTCTTTCTGCTTGCTTTTTTTTTCCGGGGGGGGGGACCTAAATGAAGACGCCCACCAACACACTCACACTGCATTTGCTTGCGTCCCCTGGACAAAAATAACAATATGTTCAGTGATACAATCCACTTAAAACCAAAAGGGGAAACATAAATTTGGGTAAGCAAACGAAATCATCTGAACTGAGCTCACAACTTGCCAAGGCTTCTAGGCAGGCCGTATGACTCCTCTCCTGCATCGACGTGGGGCCATTCGCCCAGGGCTCATTTGGGTTGGACATCACTTTACAATCCCAAGGCTATCTTGCAAGACAATCTGAGAAAGTTGCTTTGCAGCCCACTAAAAATGAAGAGAAACCCCCCCCCCAAAAAAATATATAAAAAAAAACAGCAAGAACGGTGAAGTCGATGTCCAGCAACCCCCGAAATCCAGCTCGGGGGGAGGGTGCCCAATGGCGCAAATCATGTGCCTGCCTTTGCCAAGTCGAACGGGGACTGTCCATCCTGCGGATCAAACTGCATGGTCCAAGCGAGCGAACGGCGAAAAACGCGCCTGCGTAAGTACATGTGGATCTGCTCTAGACCTCGGCCCACGAGAAAACAACCCTGCGCTCGTTGCGATTCTCTCGTTGCAAAAGATGTTGTAAGACTGGGTAGTTCAAAATGGAGGGGATCCTTCTCCGATCTGCAATCCCAAGTGAAACACCTCTACCAGGAGAACCAGGATCTTGCGGATTGATTTTGAAGCACCCAGTTGCCCTGGGCAAATCCAGGAATTTGTTGAAAAAAAAACGAAAGCTGCTTTGCAGCTGAAGCAATCGATCCCTTCAGAAGCAGGCGATAGCAGGATCCTCAGGACCTTCGTGTGACCGTACCTAAAGTTGCACGACTCGACTGATACGAAAGCTCGCGGCTCGCGGGCGAAAAACAGCGGGTTGGCTCGGCTCACTTGCAGGCATAATGGATCGGCATTTCACCTGCGCATCGAATGCGAACAATGGCATGGGGAAAGATTGCTCGATTTGGATGTCAGTTTTAGGACTCCAAACTGGGGGCTTCTTTGGGTTGCCCGTTAAACCACCCCAAAAAGGGCTCCCTAAAAAAATAGTCACTCCCAATTCTACGATCAGTCGGGGAAAAGTTGGGAAAAAGGTTGGGAGAAAGTTGGGAAAAGGTTGGGAAAAAGTTGGGAAAAGGTTGGGACAAGTTGGGTAGCCGTTGAGAACAGGGAAAAGCTTGGGACAAGTTGGGAAACGCCTGGAAAAGAGTTGGGAAACGGTTGCGAACAAGTTGGGATGAGGATCATAATGCTGCAAAGACTTTTCTGATGTGAGTGAAAAAGCGGATGCTGTGAGGGCCTTGCAGGGGTGGCACTGTGCGTTTTTTGGTTTGGAGGGCCTAGATCTTTGTCGGAATTTTCTAGGGATGTTAACGATTATGTAGCTTTTCGTGGGAAATGCATAGCTTCTTGCGGTTTTCTCTGGTTTGTTGTGCCTAAAAGCAGTTTCCAAAGCAACCTTTGTTGAAACGGTATGGTACGCCTTTGAGAAAGGCATAAGGATATGGCTCCCAATGCCTGCAATCCAAACCCCAAAGCCCACAATACCGAAAAAACAAAAAACTGGACTTTCTTGCATACGGCGTCTTGTGAAAAACATATATCCCCATCTCCTTGTTTTTTTGTTTTGTTTTTTCCCCCCGTTTTTGGCAAATCAATGACCAACTCGTTTCCACATTTCGCACACATGTGGCCATGGGTCAAAAACCCCCACGTGAACATCCCAATCCCCACTAAAATAGGTTCTAAAATGGGTGGTGAATTCACCTACCCCAAAATGGTGGTTTTGACCCACAGCCATGTGTCCTGAAAAAAAACACCAGCCGAACCCCGGCGCTGCGGGGGCTGACGCTTTGACGCCCCGATCGATCCGCGGGGATGCGCCTTTCCAGTTCCGAGCGCTGGGGCTGACTTTGGCGCCACGCTCCAGCAACAGCTCCACGATCTGGCGGAAAACTGTTCAAAACCAAAACCCGGTTCCGGGCCCCAAAAGGAATTTCAAAGCCACAACCCCGGAGAAAAGGGCTCCCAAAAGGTTATTCTTTTGGTTTCACTTTAAGAAGAAACCCACAAAAGGTACCCACAAAAAATTAGAGGCACTCTTTGCTAACGGCTGTAAACGGAAAACAACAGGACACCTGCCATTTGTTGGCTCCGGTCCTAGTTGACAGATAACAACATAGGCCCTCCGTGTTTCAAAGAGGACATGGACACCAGGGCTCATTACCTGGCTTTCGTGCTTGAAATTTCGCCAGTGCGCAATGCATGTCCCTCCCAAATGAACCATAGACCAGTAGCTTGACAACTCAAAACTGCGAAGGCCATGGTCATCGATTTCTTTCTCAACTTTTCAAGTTGACCCCGGATCAATCAACCCTGGTTATTGACATGAGGCTGTCCAATTCTGGTTCTAGCGGGGATTGAGATCAATCCACTTTTGGAGGGGAACAGCCCCATATTTTCATAAACAGGGGGTTATTGATCCGGGGTCGACATTAGGGGTCATGTCATCTTCCCTTTGGAGGAACACCCTTGCGACACGTTTGTTTTGAGGGCTGAACATACCAGAGAGCTGCTTCCCCTTTGGGGCTCACTCCTCCCAATCAATGACTAGGTCCTCCAGATTTGAGAGGTTAGAATAAGGGTACCCGATTTTTTCTGTAGACTATTAGAGTAGGGGAACCCTCCCCCCAAAAAAAGAAACGGTAAAAGGGCACCTACCCTAGACTTCCAAAGGACATTCAATAAATGGCCGAGGTGGCAAAGTACATTTTCTGGGAAAAGGCATTTTTTTGCTTAAATTTGGTTGGATCATGATTTTCACGAAAATCGCACTTAAAAGTAGCAGGGGGGGCTGCACAGTCCCATTTTGCCGAGCTTGAGAGTGCTTCGTGCGCTTCGCACTGCCTTCTGCAGAAACTTGCCAACGTCAGCCATGGGGCACGGTTCGGGAACTGTTTGTTTGATTTCTGCATATACTGGTCCAGCATACATCCATCGATCCATGCATGCATATTGGCAATTGCCAAGCCAGAAAAGAGCTACAAATCCTGTGAAGTCACGTGCCGCGAATTAACACCAAAATGGTGCAACAAACGGGATGTGCAGAACATGTTTTTTCTACGGCAATAAATGGCCGTTCTACGGCAGAACATATACTTTCTACGGCAGAAAATGTACTTTCTACGGGTTGTCTACGGTTTGTCTGCGGTCCCTTTCGTTCACAAGCAACGAGCAACGAGCTCAACAAATCTCGGCTTTACGACTCGACCTGATGTGAATATCCTGATTTTGCAATGTGTTTCCCCTTCTGCGGAATCAAGTACCCCTGACTTACACCGTACTTTTCGTAGCGGTTATTTGCTTGCCTATGGTTTTCCCGAATGGTTTGCCTGTGGTATGTCTATGATATGTCTACGGTATGTCTATGGTTTCTCTATCGTCAATGTGCCCTGATGAGAGCACTCGAAGAAATTGAGCCTCCATAGTGGATGCAAAAAATGTCCCTTCTGGAGCAAAAAATGTCCGTTGTCCCCAGGACATTTATTTAATGGCGGAAGTTCTGGGCCTACGATTGAAATGTTCGACTTCTACGAGTAGCTGCTCCCTCCCTCCAATGCTACGGCCGAAACCCGACGTTGGACCCGGGTCTCTTTAAAAGGACTGTCTAAACCGGGACGCCCCCGACTCCCGGCCAGGTTCCATGTTCATTGGAAGGGTACCCTTTCTCAAGAACCAAAGACTCATGGGGGTTGGGGGGAGGGAGGGGGAGGGAGCCCAAATAAGCCCCAGATAAGGCCGAACAAAGGGGCTTAATAAGGCTAAAAGGGGCTCCTCCCCCTCCCCTCCCTCCCCCCCAGCCCCCTTGAAAGACTAACCAAAGTAGGCTGGTGACTAGAGGGGTTCATTAAGCTGGGGCACACCCGCGGAACATCAACCACTCCGAGGTGAGAAAGTTTTCACCCTTGGGATGAAGGCGGCAACTTTACAACACCAAGGGTGTGAGCTTGCGAAACGAAAACTGAGCCTGCTTTCTTGCGTCTACTAAAAAATGACCAGAGCCGAAAAACCTAAAAGCCTAAAACATGATCCAAGAGCAGTGAAGTGAAGACCATATCCCAGAACTGGTAGCTCCGAAGGCCCCAAAGGTTTATTTCTTTCGGATTATTGAAGCTGGGCGGTCTCCAACCACTAAACCAAAGTTGTTAACCAAAAACCTCCAACACCTAATGAAACCCGGATGGCTGGTTCGGAACCCCTTGGTATTGAATCCTCCGAACTGGGGTTCCTCCCTACCCCCTCCCATCGACTCGGCGACTCGGCGACTCGCGAATGGCCGACGCCTTGGCGTGGCCCTTCTTGGCCGAGCAGTGCAAAGCGGTGAGCCCGAAGTCATCTTCGATGTCAGGGTCCTGCGACGGAGAATCGACAGAACACAAGCAAACCTACCTCCTCCAGTGGAGAGGTTAGAACAAGGGTACCAACTTTTTCCTGTAGTCTATTCTAGTGGGGGAACCCTCCCAACCAAAAAGGGGTGAGAAAGGGCATGGGGGACCTTGAAGCGAAATGATCAAACATAGCAACGGACAAACACACGAAGAAACAGCGATATCAGGAAAGAGCGAACAAAAAGACGGAGATACACAAAGAAATTACGACAAACAGAATCAAATAGAATAGTAGGTAGAGAAATAGAAACGCACACAAGAAAGCCAGCAAGCAAACAAGCAAACGGCAAGCACGCAATCCGGCAAAGCAAAGCAAAGCAAAACAATCAAGCAAGCAAACAAGCGAACAAGAAGATCGGCAAACAAGCAAACGCACAATCAAACAGGACAAAGCACCAAAACACACACGCACGCGAGCACGCACGCACTCACCCACCCACCCGCCCTGCAGGCACGCACCCACCCACCCATCCGCCGAATCACGACAACAGATCACACGCATTCATGCAGCGCGCGTGCGTACAAACACAAAAAAGTCCGCCAAGAATCTCACACAACCACACATTGCATACACACACACACACACAAACATGCGTGCGCACGCGCACACATACGCACACACACACACACAGACACACAGACACACACACACACACACAAACACACAAACACAAACACACACCACAGACACACACACACAGACGCGCGCACGCACACACACACACACACACACACACACACACACACACACACACACACACACACACACACACACACACACACACACACACACACACACACACACACACACACACACACACACACACACACACACACACACACACACACACACACACACACAGACACACACACACAGACACACACACGCACGCACACGCACATACACACACCGACAGAAAGACAAACAAACAGACAGAAAGACAAACAAACAAACAAACAAACAAACAAACAAACAAACAAACACACACACAGACACAGACACAGACACACACACACACAGACACAGACACAGACACAGACACAGACACAGACACGGACACGACACAGACACAGACACAGACACAGACACAGACACAGACACAGACACAGACACAGACACAGACACAGACACAGACACAGACACAGACACAGACACAGACACAGACACAGACACAGACACAGACACAGACACAGACACAGACACAGACACAGACACAGACACAGACACAGACACAGACACAGACACAGACACAGACACAGACACAGACACAGACACAGACACAGACACAGACACAGACACAGACACAGACACAGACACAGAGAGACACACACACGCACACACCGACCGACACACACGGACACACACACACACACACACCGACCGACACACAGGGACACACACACACATATATACACCACAGGCACAATGGAAGCAGCTCAAGTCAGCATGTGACATGTCGTGTCCTCACCCCGATTCAGCAACTCTAGCACCTCGGCATCAGTTCAGCTCAACTTCTTTTAGTGTGATTTCAAACACAGACCAGCTGTTCTCTGCAGGTGTTTCTCTGATTGCTCACATGATTACACTCGTTCTTTACAGTATTGTATGTTCTACCCGCACAAAAAAACAACAAGTCGAAGTGTTTGGGGCATCTCCGGGGCTTCGGCGGATGCGAGATCGCCCTTGCCCGCCAGTCGCACCAAGGAGGGAACCTGACATGCCAGGGCCTCGCAGCCGAGCATCGAGGCTTGAGGCGTTCGGGACTTGGGGACCAAACCTTTGGAGCATCAACCCCGAAAGTGCCAAATCAAGGGAGGGTTCAGCTCAAAAGGTTTCCAGGTTCCTTGGAAGGTTCCTTGTATGCTCATGTTCCTTAGGTTCCTTGAAAGCGCAGCCGCTATGCTCAAGAGGAATGCCCTTCAAGGAATCGACGTTGATTCAGACATGCTTTTGGTGTGAATCTGGCCAAACGTCGCCTCCTTGGCGGCGTCCTCGGTACTGACCTTGGCAGTGCGCAAACGCAGAAAACACATGAATTGGCGTGAAGAATGGGTTGCGATGCCCAAGACTCATTGTAGGTTTCGCTTTGGGTTCCCAGGTAGCTTTCACTGGTTATCTTGTCTCCCGTCAAACATCAAGGCCCTGAGGTTTCGACAACAGCTGACCTGTGTCGTAGCTCCGCACCCGGATCCCCCATCCCCGAACATACCTCAGGCCTTCAGACGCTTTGGCGGGTCGCTGGGGTTCTTCAACCATCCACCAGGCGGGTTGCAATTTTCGGCTTCGAGTGCGAAGTGGATTCACTCATTCAGGGCTTCACTCAGCGACGCATTTCCCTAGGTCCTTGCAACCGAGGGGGTTCCCACCCGAAACATGGAAAATGTTGAGTGCTAAAATGGGTTCCTGAGATCAGGGGCCATTCGTATCGAAAGGCTTCCAAGCTGCGAATGCCACTTCGTCCACCGACCAGTGGCAACCGGCCTTGGTACTTTCGCGCTCGCTCGCTCGCTCTCTCGCGACCCAAGAGGTCCTCTCAAAACTTGTGAGGCAAAGGATGGGAATCAAACCTGGCATCCAACAGGTTCTTTTGAATTTTGAAGCTGAGGGCATGAAGCAAAGAGATGGATAGTGGCCCAACTGAACGACTAAAGGTTGGGACACTCTCCAACTGAATCTTCCACCAAGCTCCTGAATCTGCTCAGTAGCATGTCGCCGCTGGAATCCAGTTATTGATTTAAGGTTCTGAGTGATGCACGCTCGGCGCGCAATTCACCGGCACGAAGACTGGGTCCTGCAAAAAGAGATCTGCGCTATGACTTCGGATCTGGGCTGCCTTTCTTGAGGGTACCCATTTTTTGGGGGTGGCTTTGAAGGAAAGCGAAAGGGACCACAACTCTTTTGGGGGAGGATCCCTTAAGGCTCCGCTTTTGGGCCTAGACGCCGCTTTGCCGGGAAGTAGATGTAACCAACCGAGAGACATTAGGCAACTCAACTTAAACTCCATTGGTGTTGCCTCATGGATGCTTTTAGACTCGAGCTTGCCAAAACAGGGGTTCTGCTAGGTTTATTTTCGGTTTCGGGGGCTCGAAACAGCTCATGCTGCTGGTTGGCTTACTTCAAAGGATTGGGATACGGGAACATATGGGATGGCGATTAGGATAACCAAATCCCCCTGGCTGAAATCGAGGGCTCAGAACAATCATCAAAAAATAAAAAGACCACGTTTCAGCCCTGAAAAAACCCTGCTGAATCTCGCAGCTAGACCCACCAAGGCCCCCCCCCCGCAAAGAAAAACAAGCAACGAACACAAAAAACAACTCAACAGACAAACAAATAGACACAACAAAAATATAACTCGAACACAAAAACAGCTCCACAAACAAATAGACAGACACACAATAAACAAACATACCTCGCCCCCAACAAAGCAACTCAAGAAACACACAAATAGACAGAACAACTAAAAAACATACCTTGCCCACAAAAAACGACTCGACCAAAAAAAAACATACCTCCCCAAAATAATAAATACATATACATAACCACTTAAACAAACAAAAAACAGGGGGGGAGAAGAAACAAAAAACATACCTCGCCCGAAAAAACACGAAAAAACCTCTGGGGCCCCTGAAGGAACAAAACTTCTCCACGGCTCCGCTGTGAACATCGGGTCCTTGGACTCCGAGGCCTGCGCCGTCGACCTGAGGCGCTGCCCGAAGGCTCCCCGCATCCGGCGAGACGTCCGCGGGACCCCAAGGTGAGCTACACCCTGTGGGTAAGAAAAGAGAACTGGAACCAGCAAGCGCACCAGGCGAAAGATGTGAAGGGACCAAAAAGGTGAGAACTACACCAACTGGAACCGGATGGCTGGTGCTCTTTTTTGAGGTTGGAAGGGGAGCAAACATTCTCAAATCTTAGCAGTTAAGTGATTGGATTTCAACCACTAAACCACAATAAGCAAGAATGTAAAACTTGTCCCAACAGCAATCATGCGTCGGTTGAAACAAATTGAAATGCAACCACCTTGCACCAGGTGAAAGCAACTAAAGCACTGATTCTGGGGAACCGCATGGTGTAATCACCAAGGCTTGGTTTCACAGAGTTCAGGCCATGTACCAACAAGGAAACCGCTGCTTTTTGGCTTGGGAAACTTTGGAGATGGGGCAAGTTGGGTGCTGGTAGCTAAGCCATGTATTGGTCCCTTGGTTCTGTGGATCCAAGCCACCGTGCCTTTCATGGCCGGGGAACGAGTCGGTTGCCTACACAGGGAAATGGAATCACTCCGGTTTCGCACGGATCCGCAAAGCCGCATGGCATGTGCAAGAGAGGGGGGGGGTCTTCACATCATGCCTCTCTTCGAGTTTGTATGTGAAGGGAACCTGCAAACGAAATAGAGACCAACAGGTTAAACCAACAGGGCGTCTGTTTGAGACCTACAACACAGGGGACATGGAATCACTGGGCAAATCAAACAAACATGTTTGGGGGTTCCATATCCATGCTTCAGGCAGCCTCAATGCGGCTCTTGGTTGAAACCGTCGCTCACACCCTCACTCGATCGAATGCAGCAACACCAAATTTGACTCCAATCCCGCCGAGGGCTACGATTGCTTTGGTTGAAACCCTTTCCAATCCTTGGCATGTGTGGAAGCGCCTGATTTTTTCCAGCAACCTCAACACATGAGCAGAGTTATAAAACACTCGAACAGTCGAAAAAGACTTGCCAAAACAACAAACAAAACACGAGTGATCCGTGAAGGGGCCTTGCTTCAAAGACAAAAAACAACCACCTTTGGGTGTGCCTTTGTTGGGATCGAGTTACCTTTTCTTGGTGGTGGTGATTCGGAAGCCCGAAGAACACCCAGCAGTTTGGGTAACATGGGCAAGGGTACCTGGGCTTTCCGTTTTTCAGATCTGCAAAAAGTGGAACTTGCGGGTTGAATCCGGAAACCCAACCACCTCTCACCAACTAAACAGAAACTAAAAACCTTTCTATTTGCGCATACGCCCCGTGAAAACAAAAAAACATGTCCAGCAGTGAAATCGCATATTGTGATTTCAGCAAATGGAAGCCCTTACACCCATCATTTGGGCTCCAAAAGAAGACACTGCCCTTGCACTCCCTTTCGAAAAAACCACTCGTCACTCGCATCGAAACGACGAAACGTCACGGTCCAAGGCGTGGGCCATGGCGCTGGCAAGAGCCAAGCGCTGGTCCCTTCCATGCCGCAAAGCATCCGCGGGCGCAGCGCGCGGGCGCGCGGGCGTGCGGGCGTCGGAGGGTCGCTGAGCCCAAGAACGGCAAGGTCGGAGGCGGTTTGAAGCGAAGGGGGGGGAGGGGGGAGGAAATAGTGGAGGTTTGTTTCACCCGAAATGGTGGGTTTTCCCATTTTGGTTCCCGTTGTTGTTTTGAAGGTTTAACACGAAGAGGCCTAGCTCAGAAAAGAGTTTCACCCAGGGTTGCTCCCATTTAACTCATCATGGTAGGTGATAGAAAAGGTCCAAGTAAGATAACCCTGATTTGGTCATTGCAAGGTTCAGAGCAAGCAACCCTGGAAGAGGGATGAAGAAGCTTGAAGGTGGTACAAGAATAAACAAAAAGCATGGCTTTCTTTTTAGGGGTTGATTCCCCATTCTTTTCAGCCATCGTTCTTTTCAAAAACCAGCCATTTCCCCAGGGTGTTTGGTGGTTTTCTAGCCTGAATGGGAAGGTTACCCCTAGACTCTTGGCGACTTGGACCCCAAATTGTTGGTACTATTGTGTTTCGACCCCTTGTAAGGAAAATGGTTTGGAAGCAATGGTTCCGAGCCGGGCCGTTAAACATCGCATATTGATTCCTGCGGTGCAACAGCTGAGCCGTGACTGCAGAAATGGGCAACAGGAAGGCCTGAAATTAAAGCATTCTATTAGTACCTTCCCCATTCTTTCTAGGGATCCTTCTTTCTAGAAAACCTCCAGAATCCCAGGGACAACGGCTGGTTTTTGAAAAGAACGATGGTTAAAAAGAATGGGGAATCAACCCCTAGAAACATATATTAGCTCGGTCTTTGACCCCGCGCAAAAAGTGATTCAGAGTGTAGTGCAAAGACTTCAACGAGGAGCCATCTCGAAGTTTGCCACCGTCGGCTTTTCTGCCTTGGACCCATCACCAGCGCGCTTTTCTTTCGCGCGCGAGGGCATGTCAGCGAAATCTCATGTCGACCCGACGGAGTTCTTTGGGGTCCTTCGCCTCCATGGGAAGTTGGAAATAACTCTTACGAAAACCATCCTGTGTCCCAAGGTCAAAAGGAAAATCCCATATTTCAACCATACATCATTTTAGCCCCCCACCTCCTTTCATGAGAGAACCATTTCTCACGGGGAGCCTCAATCTTTGAACAACAGCTGGATATCCTCACAGCTTAGCCTAAGCAGGCTCTCATTGCACCCGGCGACAGTACCTGAGTCACTGTCGGGGTCACCCATGATTTGGGTTTCCTGCGCTGCCTGAACAAAACACGGCCACAAACAGGAAACTCACAATTTGAGTTGTTTCTTTTTGTTCGTCTAAGGGTAGCGGTTCCCCCAAAGTGGTAGGTACCTTTCGCTTCAAGTACCAACCAAAAGGGGGTCCACTTTGAGAAAATTCGCATGCTGGGAAAGTCGAACCATATGCAGCGAGGCTTCTGTCGAAGGTGCACTGCCTCAGTTGCCAGGACCCAGAAATAAATGGACCTTTCAGGACCTGGACGAGGTCCTCCAGTAAAGAGGATAGAATAAGGGTACCAACTTTTGTCCTAGGGATTTTAGTAGTGGAACCCTCCTCCAAAAAAGTTGGTAAAAGGGGCACTACACTACTGGGGGACTTAGTTGACTAAGTATGGACCAAACACGGCAAACCAAAAGCTCAAAAGGCCCTTTTTGTGAAGGCAAGCCGCTTCTTCGCCTGCAAATCCAGGATCTTGTCTTCAATGGTATTGGCGGACACGAAGCGCACTACTTGTACGGGCCGTGTCTGCCCAATACCTCAGCTCAGGACAAGAAGAACTGCAACTTAGAACCTTGGGCGTTCTGAGAGGCCGACTCGAACTGCTCGGTTGTTGTTATAGCACCGAACTACTCGACTCGAGTCCCTATGCGGGAGTCTGAGTAGTTCGAGCCGACTCCCTGTTCGGGTTTGGGGCAACTTAGAACCTTGCAGCGAGTTCGACTTCGAGTCGGCTCATTTTCTGTGTGCTACATCTATTTCGGGAGAAGAAACCGCATACCATGCAACCAGAAATCCTGCAGTTTGGGGGGACCCCTGTACTTTCCAAACGATCTGATTTTTGACGACAAATCCTGTTTTGGTAGCCGGTCGTACGTCACATGTCTTCAATACAGGTCAAGCAGAATGCGACACTTAGTTGCAACAACAAGGCCGGGCAATAGCTTGGCGGAAACTACGGACCCCGAAAGGAGACCACCATAAGCATCTTGATTCCCAACTTTGACGAAGTCAAGCCAAAAAATCGGGCAACCTCGGCTAAATCGTAACTAGGTCCTCCGGTAGAGAGGATAGAATAATGGCACCCTTTTTTCTGTAGTCTAGGGGGGCCCAGGTAAGTGCTCGTCTCTGTCTGTTGCGGTCGATCACCTCGTTTCGATCCGCGAAAAGTTTCGCTAGTGGTTAAATGGAAACCCAACCACTAAGCCCGAAAAACGGATAACCTAGGGTACAGCTGGGAACCGCCAAGTAAAGCCAAGCTATTTCCTGCCAAACGAAGCCGGTACAGTACAGGTTCAATATTTGCAGATTTACAGCTACAAACAGAAGTGCGATGAACTGGTGAATCCTGCTTCTTGCTGTTTTGCTTGCAGATCTGGTTCAAGCTGTTCTACGGTTGCACGGGTTCTTGGTTTGTCCGAGCAGTACATGCATTATTTTCTAAGCGTCACAAGGCAGGGTATACTGCTGAAAAAGCCTCGAGGACATCGACATCAGCATTTATAGAACCTCCGAACAGGCGTAGAGAATGCTCACAGTGCATTCAAGGATATTGAAGTCGCACAAAGGGCGACGTATGTAAAGCTTGAATGCAAATGGATATGCAGGAATTTCAGGGGCGTTGTCAGCTCTACATCATGAAATCACGGGTAGGCGTTCGCAAAAATGTCCCATGAAATGTGTTTTTCTCCCTATGTTGAATTCCTTCCAACGGCTCGCAATGGAACAAATGGAATCGGAGCGTGGGTTTGCCGTTGGCCCATAGCTGAGCAATCAGCTGCTTGAGGGGTGGGGTTCATCACTAGGGGCAAACTCGCTGTGCCGCTGGTTTTCCCTGCGCCATTTGGGTACGTCGGTCTTAAGGTAACCCACAAGGACAACTCACCGCTCTTGTTTATTCTATTTGTTTTTCTCTTTTGTTTTTGGGGGGGGTGTCTGTCCCCCTATTTTTGACACACATAGCTACAGTAGGCCTAGGCGAGTCTCCCTAGATAGCCGGCGGATATTTTTTTGCTCGAGGCGCGATGCGCCCTTTGCATGGCTTGCTGCTCTGCCGCGGGATTCCACCAAGGATCCATCAGGAACACGTGGTTGGCACTTTGCAAGTTCAGGCCTTCACCTCTGCCAAGCAGCTGTGGCCAGTGGGCGAGCCAAAAACAGGGTTCCAGCAGAACACAGCTAGAATACACAAAACAAACAAATGCTTCAGGTTCCAGTCACCTCCAACCTGCAACGAAATCAAGAGGATTCGGCAGGTCGACGCGGGATCTGCGAAGTTCTGCATGATCTCCTCTCGGACCCTCATCTTGGTGTTGCCGCACATGCGGACTGCTTCCATGCCCTCCTGCTGCAAATGCCACCTGAAATGAGCCAAAGGGAGGACGGCGCGCCCTAAACTTAAACTCGAAACACGTATAGCATTGAGGGCAGCCTTTCTGGGGTTTGTGTAAATGACATGAACACACGTGCTGGGGCTTGCGACTCGCTTAGAGACAAACCAATTTTCCTTCAACGCCAACAGGGAATAATAACACATCATCTTTTGATACCGACAACCTATGGCCCGTGAAATTGAAGAACTGGAACCACATTGAATTTGATTGGTGGACATGAATCATCGAAGCCTGATGTCCACCAACAGGTTCTCTCTGAAAAACTTACACGTACACGTACAGAGACACAGGCACAGACACAGACACAGACACAAACACAGACACAGGCCCACGCCCACACGCCCACGCCCACGCCCACGCCCACGCCCACGCCCACGCCCACGCGCACGCGCACGCGCACGCGCACGCGCACGCCCACGCGCACGCGCACGGCCACGCTCACGCGCGCACGCACTGTCCGCACGCACTGTCCGCACGCACGCGCGCACGCCCGTCCGCCCGCCCGCCCGCCCGCCCGCACATGCACGCACATGCACGCATGCACGCACGCACGCACATGCACGCACGCACATGCACGAGCATGCACGCACATGCACGCGCGCACATGCACGCACGCACATGCACGCACGCACTAACGCACTATGGAAAACAAAAGGCGGCTCGAACGCCCACGCCCACACCCAAACGCACGCACCATGGAAACAAACAGGCGGCTCGAGTTTGGTTGGTTCGGAGCCACTCAATGATCTCCAGGAAGTGCGTGAACTGCGAGAAGACCAAGACTTTGTTGGTCGCGTCGTCCCACACCTGACAGGGCTCAGGCAAAACTTGGTTGCTTTCTGCTCCCCTGCTAAAAGTGACTAACTCTTAGTGGTTTAATTCGGAAAACCCACTAGTTGGCAAAAAGTTATTCAGTCCAAACATCCAAGCAAAATGCATCAAAGAAAAAGGATCCCGCTTGGCATTGAAAACAAGCCAACTGCCGGTTGCTTCAAAGGTCCGTGAAATGTGTTCAAGTGTCTGTCAAGTTAAAGGAATAGGGACTTTGGTCAGATATTTCAATGCACCCTACCAGTTTCAAAGGAGTTCTACCAGCTAAGACTTTTAGGTGTATCCTGGGGTCCGGCCTAACTGGATCCTTGATCGCCTGGTCACGTTTTCCGAAAGCAAAAGACACGCCATGCGGCTACATAATTCTGCGGATGAAACCACTGTTGTTGGCATGTTTCTAGGTTTTTCGGTTCTGTTCATTTTTAGTGGGGGGACTGCCAAAAATATATGTTCGCTTGCCTTTCTGGAAAGGGACCCAGATGGATCTAGTCGGGTGAAAGTCAGCACAATTCCTCAACGGGGTTAGTCACCCCTTTTACCCACCCAAAAGGAATTCCGCCATATGGGGTTCGTCACCCCTTTGACCCAAAAAGACTTCTGCCATACACCAACAAACCCATACCACAAGGCCTTGAGTCCAAAGCGGAGCATTCAATGGAGAGCCTGCCCCTTCCAACCGCTTTGAGAATCCCAGGTTTGACAAGCCTTCGCTCGCAAGCACCAGACATGACCAGAAAGAACGCAGGTGATCCGCTTTCGCCACAATTCAGCAGATTGCCTCTGGCCCTATCACTTTGTCTTCAGTCAACCCCAGGGCTAGGAAGGGAAGCACCTCCAGAATCGATCAAAGCACGTCAAAAGGTCTACAACTCCGACCTTCAGACATTCACAACCGCTTATTATTCCATACTTAGACCCTAAAACTAGAATATTACCCTTCTAAGTGGAAATTCACCTCTTATTTTTTGTAGGGCAATACCCAATTGCGGGGATGTTTTTGGGTTCGAGTGATCTGAGCCACCTTGAAACACAAAACATCTCACCAGACACCCCACCTCCGACCTGCCTGAGGGAGCTAACTCATGGAGCTCAATGGTCATGGAGCTGCTGGTTTTTGTATGGTTTTTTGACTACTCCCCATGGAAAGATCCACCTTTCTTTTTCCTGTTTGATTTTTGACTACTCCCCAGCTGTTTGAGGCTCTGGACTTGATTCCAGAAAAGATCACTGGGGCTCAGGCAGCCGAAAGAAGGAGGGTTCCGAGGAGCTTTTTTGGGAGCGGGCGGGCGGATTTGGCCTTTGGCCTGATGCCTTCAACGACATGCACGTGGTGTGAACCTGCCTTCCGCAAGTGCGCCAGCAGCGCCTCAATCTTACTACAGCTCCGCAGCCGTTTGCTTTTCTGCAGCTCCTGCCACCAAAAAGCGCGATGGAGGAACGGGCTTCAGCCAGCGACTGACCCCGAAGTGGTCGAAAAGGAATTGAGACAACCCGTTTGGGGGTGGTTGACCAAACAAAAATGAAGAAACAACATCAGGCCTGCCCCAGTCACTTCACCATTTGATAGCCGCTGAGCCAACAGGAAAGTCTTGCCAGGAAAACTCAGTCCTTTTGACAACCACATCGAAATCAGCTTGCGAATGTCAGGGGTGGTAATTCGACGAAATCAACCCACCACACAAAAAAAGCGCAAGCAAACACTAAACAACCAACAATTGCCCAAACAAACCAGCCGAACAACGAAACACAAGCACAAAGTTCAGTCTGCCAAGCCCAGGATGTGGGAGTTGATCAAAAGGTCCTTTACATGGATGACTTTCCCACAGGAGGGAAAGTTACCTGTGGTCATGGCCGGGCGTCAGGAATGATCAACCCGGGGATCCCCAAAAATCACAAAACCACCTGCTCAAGGTTAAACCTCCAAACCTGGCACAGGCGATGGTTTCATTGACCCAGCACGTATTTCGGCAATCCTTTCAGGGACTCCCTTAAGGACTATTTTGAATAACCCCCATGTCACCTAGGTCCTCCAGTAGAGAAGTTAGAATAAGGGTACCAACTCTTTTCTGTAGTCTATTAGGTTTCCCTCCCAACCAAAAACGAAACGTTAAAAGTTGGCACCTAGAAAAGCACCTAGCTCGACCGAGGCGCTTCCACGAAATCCAGGCCGTTCTCCCCCAAGATCCGTTCCACGCTCAGCTGGCAGCTGGGGCAGAAGATCTTCGTGGGACAGGCCTCGCGGCCGTAGTCCTCGAAGCAAATCTCGTGGACGCAGTGCCCGCAGCCCAAGGCCACGGTCTCCTCCGAAGATCCTGCCGTCGAATTGACGAACGCTGCTTCGCTTGCAGGGAATGACCCTCTGCTTCCAAATAGTTGTAAAAAAAAAGAAGAGAAATTAGTAATACCAAAAAAAGGCAGGGAATGAGACATGGAATGACCCCCGGGTCGAAAAAAACAGGCGTGTTTCATAGGGAAGCGCCCCAAAGCTGCGGTTTCCACCGAAGATGCCGTCGAATTGATTAATTGCTGCTTCGCTTGCAAGATGGCACAAGTTCTCCACGCTTTACACTAAGCCCCAGGAAAACCAGGGATCGAAGCTTTTGCCCGGGTAACTCGGCTGTCCAAACCGATCGGCTGCAAGTTGAACTTTTAGTGGGTGAACTACGGAAACCCAAGCACATTTCACCAACTCAAAGCCACCAAACACCTTTCTGGAACCGGACTTTTTCCTACCATTGCTTAAGAAAATCCAGTAGTGATAGATTGGACAATACAAAATCGTCTTAATCAAATGGAACTTGTTGTGAACCATCCAGTAAAACGGAGGCTTCAACAAACTGACTCGGGACTTTGGGCCCTTGCCTAACTCCGCCTGACACATGTGGCATCTGGACTGCAGAGTGCCAAACTTCACCAGGTCCGGGTGATTCGCGGCTTGCCGCTGCCGCATGATGATGCTGAAGACGTGCGCAAAGTTCCGCATCAGCTGCCCGTTCTTCAAGAGATCTTCCAGGACAGGCCGGTATGCTTCCTCGAATGAGTGACCATATAGAAATTCCAACACATGTGTTGCACAAAGCTTCCCTGAACGGGAGCTGCTACCAATGTGAGATAAACCATACTGCTTGCTGGCCGATTTTCTTCGGATGGTTGCCGACTAGAAAGATGAACCTGCATAGACGGATTTCCCTGGCAAATGGTTCATATACCCAATCAAAACCATGGAACGCATCTGTTTCTAACCAAAAACTAAGCGATCAAAAGGACGCCTACTGTGGATGGATGGAATCCTGCACCACCTAAGAAACCCTGGAATTATGTCTTCCCTGTAAATAGCAACGAACAATGGTTTCCCATGGTTTCAAAGAGGTGCAGGATTGCGTCCATCCACAGTATGGCTATGATTCACAAACCAAACAAAGGAATCCACAAGCATATAGGGCGCCTTGAGCCCCTCGAAACCTCAAGAGCTCGATTCTCGAGGCCAAAAAGGAGACCGGCGCTTCCACCAGTCCGCAAGCGCCAAACAAAATGGTCGCTGCTTTTCACCAAACACAAGCACTGGAGTCAATGAAACTGTAACTCCACGAAAAGGGAAATTGGGGAATGGAAAGACCCAGGCAAAAGGCAGCCAAGACGAACTTGCAGATCCATTTGCCTGGCATATGAGGCAACCAAGGGAACCACCCCTTTAAACCAGGAAAAATGGTGCAAGGGGGTGGTTCCGAAACCCTCAAAACCATCAAAGAGTACTTTGGCTTATGCCCAACTTCGGCTTGCTGGGAGGGGAAAATCCTGGAACTTAGGGTTCTTCGGGCTCTAAGATCCACTCTGGTTGGAAGGGGTGTACCCTTTTTCGGGGTATACCCTTTTTAAGAGTTGGTTCACACCACCAAATGGAACTGGAATCCATTTGTGGTAGCCCATTTTCCCTTTTTGGGGGAAGACTAGATCAAAGGAACTGGGAGACTTACCCCCACTTCCACTCTTTGGACGGTGACAATCCGCGCATCCACCAGGCCGTCTGGTCAAGGCTCCCGCACCGAGGCATAGAAGCGCTGCTCGCGGGCGCTCAGGGCCACCTTCTGCAGCGTCACGGTCAGCTCCGGCAAGTCGGAGATGCACTTGGTCCTCCGTGCCGCCCTTCGGCGCGCCCGTCCGGCGCGCCGAAGCGGAGTTGCCCCAAACTCAGCTGGCCCCGAAATTTGTGGAAGCCGCGCCATTGGCTCAGCTTGCCGCGAAAAAAGGTGGGTGAGCTACGGAAAAGGCCCTACGAATGAGTTTAATTGCTTCCACTGCAATCCATTGCTGGCTTTCGGTTTTCTGTCCGTTTTCTGATGCTGAAAGTGAGTTTCACGGGTGGGTGAGCTACGGAAACCCAAACACATTTCACCCACCAAACGCAACCGATACACCTCAGAGATGGCTAACCACCAAGACAAGGATTGACTTGTTCACGGCGAGCTGTTTTTTTTTCAGTGGCTCTCATGCAGCCACGGGGCCGACACAATTCTCCATTTCCTGTTCGTTTCTGTTGGAAATATTTAAACAACTTCGCTTTCGACTTCCCTCACATTGAAAAACCTATTATGGGCGTGCCCTTGAGGGAAACTATGCTTGCTTGGTTTTAATGGGAAACTAAAACCAAGAGGAATACGGACCATTTGGAGTGGTCCTCTAAAAAGCGACACCCATATGGCCATATGGTTGCTGTTGATCGCAGGCCCCAAAAGCAACTGAGAACCCGGTCCTTCGCAGCATGAGGCGGTGGAAGATGTGCAGCCTGAGGCGAGTCCAGGCCTTTGGCTCGAGGGGCTTCTTCCAAAGGACAACTCAATTTGGGTCCAAAAGCTGATTTGGCCACGGGTCACAATCCAAATCGTACTCCTGGTGAACATACCAATCCCACTAAAATAGGCTTAAATGGGTGGTGAATGCACCTACCCCAAATGGGATCCCATTGGTTTCCCACGCCCATTTCTTCCCAACATTTGAGGGAACTCTGGGGAATTTCCGGCTCGGATTTGGATAGACCGACCTACAGACCTCCAAGGAACCAGAACCCACACGAAATCAAAACGGCTTGTCCTGATTCTGATGGTTTTCCCCGCCCACGTCAGACATCAACACGTCAAAACGTGTTTTCTGTGGGGACAGTTCCTAGGTCCTCCAGCAGAGAGGTTAGAATAAGGGTACCCTTTTTGCTGTACTCTATTTTAGTAGGGGAACCCTCCCCCAAAAAAAGTTGGTGAGAAAGGGCACTACTGGGGGACCTAGGAGAAAAAAAACACACAAAAAAACGTCCGACGGCTTGGCCCTTTTCATACCCCAAAGAATCGGCCGAGGTCGGCGACGAGTTCGGCCGCATGTTGGGTCAGCCCCGAGCGCCTGAGGGCCTCCAGGGCCTCCTTGCCTTTCCCCAGGAATCCGAACTGGCGGATGGGTGTGGAGATCTCCATCCTTGAGCTGCGGTTGGTGGATGAGGGGGTGGGTAAGTGGTGGGTGGGTGGGTGGGTGGGTGGGTGGGTGGGTGGGTGGGTGGGTGGGTGGGTGGGTGGGTGGGTGGGTGGGTGGGTGGGTGGGTGGGTGGGTGGGTGGGTGGGTGGGTGGGTGGGTGTGGGTGGGTGTGGGTGGGTGGGTGGGTGGGTGGGTGGGTGGGTGGGTGGGTGGGTGGGTGGGTGGGTGGGTGGGTGGGTGGGTGGGTGGGTGGGTGGGTGGGTGGGTGGGTGGGTGGGTGGGTGGGTGGGTGGGTGGGTGGGTGGTGGGGGGTGGGGGGTGGGGGGTGGGGTGGGTGGGTGGGTGGGGGGGTGGGTGGGTGGGTGGGTGGGGGTGGGTGGGTGGGTGGGTGGGTGGGTGGGTGGGTGGGTGGTGGGTGTGGGTGTGGGTGTGGGTGTGGGTGGGTGTGGGTGTGGGTGTGGGTGTGGGTGTGGGTGTGGGTGTGGGTGTGGGTGTGGGTGTGGGGGTGGGGGTGGGGGTGGGGGTGGGTGTGGGTGTGGGGGTGGGGGTGGGGGTGGGGGTGGGGGTGGGGGTGTGGGTGGGGGTGGGGGTGGGTGTGGGTGTGGGTGTGGGTGTGGGGGTGTGGGTGTGTGGGTGTGGGTGTGGATGTGGGGGTGTGGGTGTGGGTGTGGGTGTGGGTGTGGGTGTGTGTGTGTGTGGGTGGGTGGGTGGGTGGGTGGGTTGGTTGGTTGGTTGGTTGGTTGATTCGTTAGTTGCCCTTGGTGAACATCACTGCAACGTTGCCTGCGCTTGGTTGGGCGGTTGCTCAGAGAGTCTGTTCAACATTTTTTTGCTTGAAACACACATGTTCAACCAACACGTTAACGACACTTGTGGTGAGGTCATGCTGCCGAACCGATCTGTACGAGGGCTAGTGATCCAAACCAGCCGAGCATCTGGAAGATGCTTTGGTGCAAAGACCGGCTGTGAGAGCATCCTTTGCATACCTACGCTTGGCTAGGGGAAAGGCTCCCAAGGAGGTTTTCCCTAAAGTTTTCCGGTGTGGAGGGAGAACCCTTGTGAATGGCCAAACCGCAATGTTCCATCCAATGAAAATACAAGGATCTGTCCATCCGTTCAAAATAGCTCCTGAAAGTACTCCACTTCAACTAGGGGACTCAATTTGGAAGGGGACCTTGGAGCAGAAACACAAAGGTCAAAAACGTCGATTCGCGTGAGACCTGAGTTGATGTCACAACTCTTGGCTTGCATTCTGACAGATCCGGACGGGAAAAGCACACTGGTATAACTGCTAACAAGGTTTCTTGAAAAACTTGAAGGACAAATCCAAAGCCTTCTTTTTGCAAAGATCCTCCAATACAACTGATAAAGGTGGCCTACATGTATCCTTGGGACCCTGTTTAAAATCAAATAAAGCTGTCCACCAAACAGCGAAGGTGCACTTGTGTCGGGGAAGCAGGGCACGAAGAAGCATTCGCAGGTGCAGCCCCTCTTGGTGCATCTGTAGTATCCGTAGGGATAGTATCCTCAGTTGCCCCTGATCGGGACCTGGAACGACAAAGTTGACCTTTGAAAGGCCATGACTACTGTGGATGGACGAAATCCTACCACTTTGAAGCTATGGTTGAAACCATAACGTTCGTTGGTATTTACAGGGGAATCAGATCATTCAATAATTTCTATCCATCCACAGTATGGACGAGAATTGGAAAAACAGGTCACAAGGTCGACTCCGGGCAAGTATCTCAAGAATCGGACCAGCGAGTAGACTTCGCCAATGCGGTTCTGCATGGGCGTGCCAGACACACACCACCGCTTGCGAGCCTGCAGGTTGAACGCAGCTTGGGCGGAACCTCGTTGTGAGCTTCTGATTCGATGCGCTTCGTCCAAAACGACTCGACCCCACTGGACTCGGTATAAAGGCGAAGAGGATAAATCCAGCTTGTCCAGCAACTGATGCTCCCACAGATCCAGCACTTCCGTGTCTTCGCCTTCCTTCTTGATCTCCTGTTTGTCCACAGTTGCCTGCCGGGATTGCTGTCCAACGCGCTGGCAAACACAT